GTGTGTGTGTGTGTGTGTGTGTGTTTTGGGACGGAGCGGTGTAGAATGGAGATACTACCTTTAAACAATGAAGTTTTACATCTCCATCTCAAAGAGACTAGTTGCAAAATGGGTTGATAACGATCTACAACCACTTTGGGTGTTTGGCGAGTGGTCCATTGCGGTTTACCCCTTCTCTCCTACCAAACATCAATCGTTATCTTCTCCCCTTTTTCCTTTTCGTGTCATTCTCTATAGTAACACTTCTAATCTTGGACACTTACAATATATCCTAAACCTGTTGCAAGTGCTGTTAGACTCTTACCAAAATAGATATATACCTGAACTATGTACTACCCAGAAAAGTTACTAGTGGCCTGATACCTGAAAGGGCCTTTGCGGAAAGCAATGAGTCATCCAGCACATTTACTTACAAGGAAGTGGGGGGGGGGGTGAGTCATGCAGCAGTTTGAGCGGGCATAAGACTAGTACCCTCTTAAGGGGGGAAACAGATCTCCAGCATCGAATCGAAACGACAATAAATCGTCTCAATGGATTTAGTTAAATACGGGATCGAAATGGTTTTTAAAGCTGAAGTTTAAAACTAATACTTTGATAAACTTGCTAGACCGTGGAAGAATATTACGTCTTTAATATTTTTGTATACTATAATGTATAATATATTGTTATGACAAAGAAACGAATTCATCGGTTAACAAGTCGGCATCGAATCAAGCATGATATTGTTTGAGGGAAAACAAATCAAGCAGTTTGGACACGTTATGAGTTTTAGTTTTAGTCAGAGTTTTACGGCACTTGCAACACAATAAGGTCATAAGAGTGCAGAAAATTAGAGGTGTTACAAGAGAGTAACCAACACAAAAAACAACGAGGAGAGGTCAGGACGATAGATGTTTGATAGGAAAGAAGAAGAAAACCACACCCGAGCACCCGCCAACCACCCACCACGTTATGAGAAGGAGACCACAACACCCAGCCTCAAAGATGTGCGACACGCGATTCGATGACTTCAAGGCAAAGCGAAGGCCAAGAAAAAGTTGGATCGATGAAGTCAAAAAGAACCCTGGAGGGCACATCTACATTGTATGCATATTTTTCAACAAAAAGAGAAAGCTGACAGGAAACCAGAATTCAGCAAATTTTGTAGAGATTGAAACATCTCCGGAACAATATGTTTGAAGCTGTTGTTTGTTTCCATGTTTTTTACAGTGATGGAAGGTTGGAAAGAAAGATGAGCAAAAGATATCGGGGGAGGGTAAGGGATTGGGGTAGTGGATGGGGGAGGATCGAAAGCTAGAAAACAGCTACGTGCTCCTTCCACTTAAAATCCAATTTTTTTCATTTATCACGTTTGGCGTATCTACTGTGTTATATTGTTTATCTATGTTCCACTTCAGAGTGTTTGTGGCTGTGATTATTGAACGTTTTTGGCTGAATTGTTAAACCTTCCTTTTCATAGAACATACCCTATTTTAAAGGTAGTATAATATGTGGAGATAGGTGGATAAATGAGGTTTGGAAAGTGTTTAATAAATCGCCGGAATTGTTTCAGGTAAAGTGATTTCTTTTTTTACTCTGCAGTGTCACAGTTTAAGTAATCTGATTAATTTATATATATATATATATATATATATATATATATATAGAGAGAGAGAGAGAGAGAGAGAGAGAGAGAGAGAGAGAGAGAGAGAGAGAGAGAGAGAGAGAGAGAGAGAGAGAGATAGATAGATAGATAGATAGATCTTTTTTTTTTATTATTTAAAAAAATTTTTAAAAATTTGGGGGGGGGGGGGTTGGGAGGTCTGTTTTTTATAAAGAGTTTCATGGCGCTTGCAACGGCATCAGGTTATCTGAACACTGCTGGCTAACTGTTTGAGGACGCGCATTCCAGTTTCTCAATAACGCTTGAAGTCGCACTGTTTTGGAGCACTTTAAAGAAGAAGCATAACTTCATTATTCTTACAGGGATTCTTTTTTAAAAAAATTTTTATCTTCTTAACCTTCAACTTGAAAAGGCAAACTACACAGTACGTTTACAAAAATAATGTGCAAATTCGTGTTTCTGATTTGTGCCCTGAAGATTTCGAAAAGTGCCGAAACATGGCCGGTGGTCTGTTGTTGGACGTAATATTTATGTTCCCGCTGCGTCCTCACAAAGTTAAGGGCTGGTGGGGCACCTGAGGTCTATTTTGGCTATTACAAGGCCTAGAGTGCCCATATATGCTGTGGGACATCGTGTGTTATTGGGGATTTTAAATCAATAGTTCCAAAAGTATATTGTGAATCTGTTGCTATGGCAACGGCGGCCATATTGGATTTTGCATACCTTTTTTCAATCCCATTTTATTCCCTAATTCACTTCTAATTTACTTCTAATTTGGCATGCCAACAGTACATATGTAGCTCTTAAATTTAGCTTGTTGAATTTTTTATATATGCTTTAGTTTTTATTTTATGACATTTGCAATTGGTAAGATGCAAAAAAAGTGGGAACAAAATGGAAAATTCAAGCTTTCTAGGCCCATAAATCAAAAACTACTGCGTTAATTTAAAAAATTCAATAAACCAAAATTATGAACTATGTGTTGTTTGTATCCTGTGAAAGTTACATTGAAATTGAACAAGAAATAGAGCAGAAAAAGGGGATAATGTGTGAAAAAATAGAATTGTGAGAAAACAGCCAATACAGGTAAGAAACGGATAGAAAACTTGTCCTTTTGCAGAAAAACCTGACAAAAAAGACAGCTTTAGGGTGTCGCAAGGCTCACATACGTTTCTGGATATTGTTCATGAAATGTCCAGGTACTATAATATGTAATAAACTCAATTTGCGCAATTTGACCCCAAAACACGATTTCTAGGTGCCCACCAATTCAAACACGCGGGTGGTTGGAGGGTGTTCTGCTGTGGTTTGCTCCTTCGTTCCAATCAACCATCTACCGTCCTTATCTTTCCGCCTTCTTTTATTTGAAGTCTGACTGCATGCAATCGGACGCGATGTTTTCTAGACCAATAATTTCGATGAGGCGGTTTTTCTACGAGCAGAAATTCTAAAATATATATATATAAAAAATCAGCCTCTTTCAACCAACCTTTAGATGTCATTAATTAGGAGAGACAAGCAAGTCTTAAAAAATAAGGCTTAATCAAATTCACCTTTGTGCACATTTTTAAGTTGGTGTTTAATGTATTTTCTCGTTTCCTAAGTATGTACCAGAGTACCAGTGCGCCAGTGTACCAGAGTACCAGTGTACCAGTGTACCAGTGTACCAGTGTACCAGTGTACCAGTGTACCAGTGTACCAGTGTACAAGTACAAGTGCACCAGTGTACCAGTGTACCAGTGTACCAGTGTACCAGTGTACCAGTGTACCAGTATACCAGAGTACCAGAGTACCAGTGTACCAGTGTACCAGTGTACCAGTGTACCAGTGTACCTGTGTACCAGTGTACCAGTGTACCAGAGTACAAGTGTACAAGTGTACCAGAGTACCAGTGTACCAGTGTACCAGAGTACCAGTGTACCAGTGTACCAGTGTACCAGTGTACCAGTGTACCAGTGTACCAGTGTACCAGGTTCGGAATCAACACCAGTGTTTGAAAAATATTGAAGAAGAGTGTTTTAATAGGGTAAACTATTAGTCGTTTAAAAACATATTGTTATTATTATTCTAAACCAGGTCATCCGCCCACTGACATTTTATTTCTTTTTCTACACATATCCTGAGAAAATAGACTGGCCCTTTTAATTTTCAATTACTGTATGCCCATAAAGATTCCAAAACTGAAATCTTATTATCCATCTCATTTCGTAGCGGCTCATTTTAAGCGCGCCAACATTGATCTTGGAAAATCTAAAATGTATTCTCATTTCTGAGCGTAACAATTGAAACCTAAAAATTACTATTTATACAAATAACTAGATATATAATATGTTCTATGTGTATCCATAAAATGACTTTCACGCTATTAACCTTCACAAACGCTTTATTAAACATCACGAGGAGAGAGAGAGACAAAGAAACGAAGGCATCAGAAAACAAGTGGGCTCTGAGTCGGGGTAAAATACACCCGGAGACAACAAATAGGTAGTTTGGACACGCTATGAGAACGGGGCCACAACAGCCAGCGCCAAAAGCCTACACCATGTTATTCGATGTTTTCTAAGCAAAAATAAAACAAAACAAAACAAAACAAAACAAACTAAAACAAAGACGAAAGACCAAGAAAAAGATAGATCATTGGAGTCAAAGAGATCTTTGAAGAGCTAATGGGGATCCAAAAACCAGCACGAGTGGTATGTGCCCGACAGTTCCATCTCCACTCCTCAGATGAAGGTATAAGCGGACATGACAAGGAAAAGTAAGTGTGCAAGTAACGTTCAGTACTTTCAGGGGCGAGAACCGTTTGAAGAACAACGAGCGGGCACTAGACCTTGCTCATGACCTACCACTAGGCCTATACTATGCCAATACTTTCTCAAACGGTAATTTATACGTGTTGAAGAAAACCAGCAAAATCTAGTTACGAAACCGCGTCTGATTTTTACGGCCTGAAGAAATAACTTTCTGATATGTGAGACAGCGTGGTGGAATCGGGCTCTCGTCAAAATAATCAAAGTGAAGAAATTTGCATTTTTCCACAGGTTGGTGAATTTTTTTCAAAATTTTGTTTGAGATGCTCAACATCTTTCATGCCCATTAAAGAACTCATTTCTGTAGGATTTGTCTGAGAAATGTTGATTAAAGGCACACAAAAAATGTAAATTTTCAGTTACCACGGACTCTTAAGCTAAGGAAATAACTAATCTTTGGCGGCCATTTTCTCACTAATATTACCTCTGAAAACAGGTGATCCCCACCCTCTTCATTCACAAATATCTCGACTTGTATTCAAGATAAATGGATATTTTTTCATCCAAATAAAGACAAGTGAACAAGCTTTAAGATGATACCAATAACTCTGCATGCCCAAAAATTGACCAGAGCCTGATTCCACCTCGCTGCCTCACATATTATTCAAGATGAAAAGCCAGCTCCATCGACCAGACATAAAGAATATTAATTTTGCTCACCGAGTTGAAAGGATATCGGATTTCAAATGTTCGTCTCGGTGTTTCAAGGTGTAGATAATGCCCAGCCTACTCAACAACATTTAAGCGGACATTCTAAAGTTGTAAATTACATTTTTTGGATGAGATCTAAGATACTTAAGATTTGATTTGTTATACAGAAAATTCATACGTAAAGTAAAAATATCCACCCACAATTGCCCTCCGACAGCCTGGAAACAACAAAAGGAACTTTCTAGAGGGTGAGTCCTGCCTGTATTCTGACCTGCTTGGTCATATAACATTACAGTTATGTCACTTTAATAGAATATAAACTGCTTAGAAAATTTCAACAACAAAAACTTATAACTTTCCAGACCTGTGATAAATTTCTGCTTGTGGGAAAAAAAGATGCATCTGGCAGAACATGCTGTATTATTGTCAGTTGTGCTATTCTCGTCATACTCAAATTCTCTTATGAAAGTACCTTAAAAGTTTTAGTTCTATGTATATCCATATTATGTGTTTTTGCTGCTGAATTGACACAGATAATTTCTCTTATTCCCTCAGGGACAATAAAGCTTCATCTTGGCTTATCGAAAAGAACGCACATGTACAGTATGCTTTCCCTTTTGATACTTTGTGGATGGCTTGCTAGCTGTGTAAAATATTTTTTTCTTCTCAGTCAATTTTTGTTTCAATGGCTTTACATAATATTTGTGGGAATATTGCACAAACGTAAATATGAAACATATCTTGTCGGTGTGATCAGCCTTTTATGATGATGATAATAATAATAATAATAATAATAATAATAATAATAATAATAATAATAATAAATAGCATTTGCATAGCGCTTATCCTCGCTCAACAGCAGGCTCTATGCGTTTTACACTATATTATTATTATTACCCCAGCAGACCATAGAACACTCAGAAACATTCTCAGCTTCCCGGGAAGCATACAGTGCAAGCAGCTGATTAAGCGCTCAAACACTAACAAGCAGACAAGATCTTTCGATGTCTATAGCCGGGTACCCATTCCCACCTTGGTGAAGTGAGGAAAATTCGTGTAAAGTGCCTTTCCCAAGAACACAACGTCGGGCCCCTGACGGGATTCGAACCCACGACCTTACGGTTGCGAGTCCGAGAGCCTAACCATTAGGCCACCGACTCTGAACAATGACACCTTTCACCTTTGCCTTGTTTCGTAAATTACAATCTAGTAAGCCACAGAATTGATCAAATGTCTGTATATGAGTGTCTGCATGTTTTTTATAACATTTTAAATGTTGTTTATTTGTTTTTGGTTTGTTGTCGATTTGTTTGTTTGTTTGTTTTTGTTTTGTTATCGATGTGTTTGTTTGATTTTTGTTGTTATCTATTTTGTAGGAGGGGGGGGGGGGGGGGGGTGTTGGTATTGGGATTCGGGAGGGGGGGGGGGTCGTATCAACTCGCTTGGTATTCTACAGAACCATGGAGCCTATGGCCAAGTTTTGAATCCTTTAATTATGTTTATTTTTAAAGTATTCAAAATCATTAGAATGTAGGTTCGGGGGTTTCAGACTCAGCTCGGTGATCATATTTCCTGTTATCATGTTTGCCTGATTCATGTGACCTAATTTGTAACAAACAATTAGGCCCTGTGTTTTCTCTTCTACAAGACTCGTAATTGTGAGTTTGCAGGTTCGGGGGTTCGAGCCTCTGCTCTGTCCGACGTTGTGTCCTTGGAGGCACTTTACACGAATTTCCCACTTGGCTCAGTCCTTTCGGAGATGGATGCTAAACTAGTAGGTCCCGCCTCTTAAAAAACCTAATTGTGTTGATAAGGGCGTTGAACCCATAACATTTTTCATTGCGTTCTCTCTGTTTGGCAAATACACTTGAATTGTACTACCATGCACTGCCATAGTCAGGTATGCTTCCCGGGAAGCCGAGAAAGTTTCTGTGTTTCGGGGTCCGCCGAAGTGATAACAGTTATTGTAAAGCGTTAAAGGCATGCTGTAGAGCGCGGTGAAGCACTCTGTAAATACAATTATTAGGCTCATCATAGCCAATGCTCTTGCCCTTGATAAAAAGCTTCTCTGCAAAACGTTCTTACGGTGCCCTAAATGGGGCGAAAAACACCAGTCTCGCAACACTCAACTGCATGAGCAACCAGTCCTTTCCCCCTTGCAGTTCACTTATTTCCAAATTGAGTCAAATGTTACGTTCAATAAAATAGTTTGACCATCAGTGTCTGACGATGACCTATACATCCGCGGAGGAGAATATTTCTCCAGTGAAATAGAAGAATTTGAAGACTTAAAGGTAAATATGACTTGTGGCTTCTGTTGTCGCCTAACTACAGCGACTCAGAATTACTTCAGAGTGCACGATCTAAGATATTATTAATCACTAGTCTATGGGTTGGCTTTTACCTCACACACTGAAGAACTGGCGTCTGTGGTGAAGCAGTTAGGCTCTTTGCTATAGAACGTAAGAGACCGGAGTTCGACGATTCCCGAGTTGGGAGAAAATCTTTATCCGACATCTTGGGTGTTTCTGTTGGGATGTTGTAACCCCCACAGCCCAGGTATGTCTGTTGGGATGTTGTAACCCCCTCAGCCCGGGGTGGCCTTGACAAGCTGGCTCGGAAGCCCACCTCCTAAATAGTCTAAATTGTGTCGGTGCGGG